CTCCCCTCCTTGTGCTTCTGAAGCCTGAAGGTTCTCGCTAAAATGAAGCGCTAGTATTAGCTTGGTGGGTCTCTCCGCACTTTCACTTTCGCTAACAGCGCAACCGTCAACGAAAGTCCCTTTTATGGACTTGGGGGAGCGGAATCGGAGGTTTTCGGTGGTGATACTCGGCTTACATAGCTACCCAGGAGACCGGATATATCCGAACTTGTGGTTAGGCATGAGACAGTCCGTGCGAAAGCTGGTAAGTCCGTCACCTGTTGATGTGCAATAGCTTTGCGACAGTGGCAACTTAGCACCCTCAGTCATACCTAGTGGAAGCCGTAAATTGCTGTAGATTTGTTCTTCTTCAGATCAGATGAACCAACCCGTTCCGATTCCTTGGATACCCTCCTCCTTCCCAGAAGAGAAACACGTGGTGTAGAGAGAGAGTCCCAGATTCCTTCCAATGTCTGATGATCAGAAGCACATGCAGGAAGAGCGGCGAGAAGCATTGTCATCCCAATGTGTCTGAGAGCGACATACGCGTTTCCCAAGAGGATAATACGGCCTTAGCCACCACAATATCCTCAATCCAAGTTACATTAACCTACCCGTACTCTATCAGTCTCTTGTTAAAGGTGTAGTCTCTTCACGTCCTGTTCCTACTTCCACGTCCTAAAGGCAGTCCCGCTACCCCTTTGGCGGCTTCCTACGTGTATGCTAATTAATGGGTGACTAGGTACTCTTCATGATCTGATTTTTCCCGGCATGACATATCTTGTTGGGTCGATCATGAGAATTCTCACAAGCATTCTTTCTATCTACCATGCTGTATGTTGGCAAGCGGTGCCACCTGTCAGTATCCATGTGCTCCAGGGTAAGACGCCATAAACCATGCCATGATCACACACGCAAGGACCATTCTTCGGCACCAACATTAATTAAGTTCATCTTGATGTTTCAGAACAGCAGATTCTCCAAGCGAGGCCAAATTTGTTCCATCGACATCAGTGCTATCGCCCTGAGACTGGTGTAAGAGCAGGTCGAGTTTACATTAACCCCTCAGAAACAGATAAAATCTCCTCCAGTCGAAAGGTCTAGGTATGTATCGTTTATCAAGATGCTCTTTCGTCTTCGTCGACAACTACTGCTGTAATGGGGTGTTAGGTAGACACGTTTGCTGCGTCTGCCAAGTAAAAGTAAGGCTTCAATTCCGACGTCTGGCTATGGGTATTTCTAAACAAGTTGATTGATGGCAGTTACCTAGTTAAGGTCGTGTCGAACGCGGTCTCGCCGGTCAAGGAACAAAATCCTTCTCCTACAGCCAGCCATACATAGTAATACGGTGGAAGAGCGGTATCGAACTCTACCTACTTGGTATTGCTGTCAAGGACGCTACTGCATGTGCGCAAACTCAGCTATTGCGTGCTCGACACCAGTGATTGCCTCCACCACTAACCTCAGATCTGGTTACCTGAGGGCTCCATGTGGTCTGTACCACTGTTCCTGGTCATTGCGCGAATCTAGCGCAGTTTTTAATGAGAGGTCCGGCATATCTTACGGGTTTGACAGATTTCAAAGCTTGAACAGACTCAGGGCGGCGTCTGGCTGTACAGCAGTTCGGAGTACAGCATACTGTGTCTGCTGTAGAGTACAGAACAGAATTTCGCTTTCGAAGCGATACACTAGTCCCGGCTTGGTAGGTACGGGCGCCACTTGAACGGCAACGACGTCACGTTACGGTCAGTAATACACACAAAACCTCAATGATTACACCACGCTCCTGCCGTGTACGATAAACCCTGTCCATGGAAGACTCTGCACAAGACGGGCAGTGATTATCTACGCTTTTAATGCTGTGTGGCGGCTCGGATGCCCCGATCTGAGTTGCTGGGATCACAATCAATCACATATAATTCTATCCACTACCCGCCTGCTTTGACGAATCCTGCAGACGCATCCCAGCACAGAGCATGACGATGCGCTGCAATACCTCATAATAGAAATAGTAGTACTTTTAAGGTCGTGTGCGCGTACGTAGACTCAAGCTGCGCTTCCAAGGTATCTTCCTCGTCAGAGCTTTGTCTCTCGCTCTTTTTTTCTGCACACATGGTTATCCCTGTCCTTTTACATATATAACTTTAAGATATATCTACTGCTGTATGGACACCTGCAATTCTGACGCTTTCGCTTCACAACTTCCTCCCCTTAAGCCAAACCCGATGGCTTCCGAGTCGAGTATGAAGGACGCGGCCTTCGACGTATCACCGCCTTACGGGGAAGTCGATGTCGTACCCGGCGACACAGTCCCCCGGGGCTGGTCTGCCTGGTTCGGTGGGCCTAATACCTCCATCGGCCCTCGCATTGCGCCCAGGATTGCGCCCGTATCTGGTGTTACCTCGGGCGACGACGGCGACGACTCTGATAGCGGGTTGAGCAGCGATGCCATTTTACAAAAACAGTTGGCCGAAGAGGCCGGGAGCACCATACAGTATCGCACCTGCAGCTGGCAAAAGACTGCTGCCCTCCTGTTTTCCGAGTATATCTGTCTGGTAAGCGTCGAGCAACATGCTCGGATATTCGGGCTTGACTATCATCGCTACGTGACCGTGGGCTAATTGCGCCGTTTATCAGGCTATCATGAGCTTTCCTTGGTCTTATAGTATATTGGGTCTCGTGCCTGGGTGAGTTGACTTGCTCCTACTGGCTTCCTCTAGGAGTTAGAGTAAGGCAACACATAGGACATATGGCCTAACAATTATGCGCAGACTTATCCTCACAGTTGTCGTGTCGCTCATCGTCCTCTATACGTAAGTGGGCCGGCCTTTCGCGTGAGCTTCATGCCTATTCTAACATACCGCGGTAGCTCCCTCATATTATGGCAATTCTGCCTCCGGCACCCGGAAGTTCGAGATGTTTGCGACATTGGGCAAATGCTCTTCTGGAACAAGAAATGGGCTTGGTGGTTCACAGCCGTCATGTTTGTTCTCAACAACACGTTCATCCAAGTGAGTGTGGGCATCAGCCAGCTCCCCCCCTCCAATCCCTTGCGCGGTAGACAACGCCATCTAACCTCCGTTACGCCAGGGCCTTCATGTCCTCACTGGTGCGAAATATGTCAACACCTTGATTGGGGGCGAGACCACTTCCATCGCCTGTCAAACCGTGACTATCGGCCTAATCGTTGCTATCATATCCTGGATCGCTTCACTACCCCGTACCTTCAATGTCTTATCCCATCTGGCAACCGGCTCGGCTTTTTTCACCTTTATCTCGGTTCTCCTAGCGGTGATATTCTCGGCCATAGAGAGCCATCCAGCTGGCTACAGTGCGGCACCGACGGCAGACCCCCTAACGGGCAAGGCTCTTCCCTCGGGTGCGCCTATCGTGACAGCTTTCCCTCTACCCAGCACCAGCTTCGTCAGCGGTGTAAATGCCTTTCTGAACATTAGCTACACCTTCATCGGCCAGATCACGTTGCCGAGCTTCATTGCCGAGATGAAGGAACCGCGGGATTTCCCCAAGGCTCTCTGGGCCTGCACCATTCTCGAGATCATTGTCTTCAGCATTGTTGGAGGCACGGTATATGCGTACACGGGCAACCAGTACATGACTAGCCCTGCTTTCGGATCTCTGCAGTCTGTCTACAAGAAAGTGGCCTTCTCGTTTATGATCCCCACCATTATATTTCTAGGTGTCCTTTACGCCACGGTGTCCGCCCGATTTGTGTTCCTGCGCGTGTTCCATGGCACACGCCACAAAACGGAGAACACGGTTGTGGGATGGAGTTCCTGGGCTGGACTTCTACTCATCACCTGGGTTCTAGCCTTTATCATCGCTAACTCGATTCCATTCTTTGGCTCTCGTAAGAAAAACTCGTCCCTCTCCCGAGACTAGAGTTCAGCATTGCTAACACACCTGCAGTTCTCTCGCTCTTGTCGTCCCTGTTCGATTCCTTCTTTGGGTTCATATTCTGGGGCGTTGCTTATTTCCGCATGCGCAAGGCGGATGGCGTCGTTTCGTTCTGGAAGGAGCGAACTTTCCGTGGCTGGTTCGAGGGCATCCTGAATGCCGTCATCATCATCACTGGCATCTTCTTCCTTACAGGAGGTACATATGCCACCGTCCAAGGGATCATTGACGAGTATGAGGCAGGATCAGTCGGCCGACCGTTCTCTTGTGCTAGCAATGGCATCTGAGGCTCAAAAAGTATCTTTCATTTTTGTTAATTCAAGTTCCATTTACTACTAGGAGATACCCGAGCCACGAAGGAGCATCGCGGGGAAATCTTCCTAACTCATCTTGTTTTACAACGCAGCTCTACGAGGAGCAAGCAACCATGTTGGGGAAGCCAAGCTGGCAAGTTGAGCGGGATCAATCGGCATCTTGGCCAAGATGGACGTTGGATACGAGTGGAACAGGAAAAGCCGTTTCAAATCTCTCAGGATACCGTAGTAATGCAAGAGAGGAAAGACACGTCGTTTATGGGCTGTCGTTGTGTTCCCCATCTCGCAACGACGCAACCTCACCCACTGCATCTAGTTGATGCCACCCGCCACACTAACCTAACCACCAAAACGCTCACAACTTGCAACGAGAAGCAAAGATATGTAAACTGACATGATCATATTTCCAAGCAGACATGAAACAGAGCATCGGGCCTGGAGCATCGCCCTCTCACCGCAACTTGTTTGAGCTAACACTAACAGCATGCAGACCTCACCGAAGTCGTTAGTTAACCTTAGTCAGAAGCGACGACCGAACTCCCTCCCTGCCTTTACACTGTCAACAACCGAGGAGTACTTTTCTGTCTTGGCTTATCTAGCCACGGTGGATACCACTATAGAAACTGAATGACCACCTCGATAGTTTGAGGGGGAAGCAAACAGAGACTAAAAAGGGGCGACCATACAACAGACCAAAGCAAGAGGGATGGGGTAAATGAGGAAGGGGGAGGAAACGATAAGGGAAAAAAAAAGGTAAAACAGAAAAAATCAAAAGAGAAAAAAGAGACGGGATGGCTGTATCAGGAATCGAACCTGAGTCTGCTCGGGATTGCTGTCTCGGTTTTCTCTCTAATCACAAGATATAGATAGATAGAGAAGGTAAACCTCCACAACGAGCCGTACTGACCACTATACTATACAACCCGATTTTCGATTCGTTGGTTGGATGACCGGTTCTTTCTTAGGTCGGGCTAAGTACCTATCCTATGTCCCACAGCAAATCAAGAGGAGGGGGGGACAAAAGCTTGCGACGGAACTAGGTAGAATGCAGGGCAGAGAGAGAGGTAAATAAATGAAGGAAAGCAAAAAAACAAGAAGAAAGGAGAAAAAGCTCTCTCGGTGGGTTGGCTGTATCAGGAATCGAACCTGAGTCTGCTCGGGATTTGCTGTAGTGCAGGAAAGGAAATCCTTGACCACAACGAGCCGTACTGACCACTATACTATACAACCCAGTTTCCGAACCTTTTTTCGAGGCTCGTAATTGGTTGGTTTGTTGAAACGTCACGCAGGTAAATAAGTCTATAGCTAGCTAACATTTAGTCTACGCAAAGGTGGGTATTAGTTGCGGTTACAGAGAGTTAGAGAGGGGCACCAAGAGTGGACTAACCTAACCCAACCTAACCTACCCCTCCCCTTATCCTCGAAAAACCAAAGGACAACGAAGTCCCAGAACAGGCTTACAAGTTCTCCTAGGTTAGGTTAGGTTGGACATAGAAGGAATAAGTACAGTTCGAGACAAAAGAAACGAACACGCACGCAGTCACCATCTCAAGTGCGTTTTTGCTTGCTTGCTACTTTTGTCGCCCGACTGTAAGCTAACCTAGACAAACAGAGGAGGACTTTTTCTCCCACGTTCATAAATGAATAAGTAGATAGGTTGGCTGTATGTATAATTCCAACAGTTATATGGATGGACCAGAAGAAACTGTCCTCGAACAGTAGGCACTTTGGAGCCTATAACTACAAGACTGGCGGGAAGCAGCCAGGAAAGTCTTGACAAACTTGGCTTCGGAATGTGCAAGTCGAGAGAGCCATTAGATGTGGACCGAGAGAAACCCGACCTTTCTGTATCTCGTAAAACTGTGATAGAAAATGTAAAAATGGGCAAGCCTCCCAAGCAAGAGTTTAGCATTACAAAATTGTATGTACCTTATTCACGTTGCCTTTGGCTGGGTGTGCCACGCAGGGAAAAGGGGGTATCCTGACACATTAAACCGTAACCACGCCTTTTCGGACCTGCATCTGGCAATGCGATCGAACTGGCCAACCCGGACGGACACACGCCGCTCAATCCATGTGGGAAAAAAGACATTGCCCACCGTGAACCTTTGTCCTTCCCTCTCCATACCCGGGGCGCTCAGCTCCCAATGCCGAGCAGAGATCGCAGATCGAGAATCTGCGGACAGTAAATAAATTCCAAAAGCTTGCTACCGTGACAAGGACTCATGTCGTGAAACTCGTAATCTTCATCCCCTCATGGGTACTCCCAAGGTTTGGACGTCTCTTCAGCCCGCGCCGTTGATACAGGGGGCGACGTGGCCATATTTGAGATGTCCTGAGGTGGTGGTGATTGATCCAATTCGTCTGATTCTTGAATGGCTGGCTGGCTTGGCCCGGGTCTCTTCTCATCCAGGCTCGCCTTGTCGACGCTCCTGGACCTGGTCGGGAGAAACCCGTGATTCTGCTCCGGAGGCGACTTAGCTCGTTTGTCGGCATTCTCCTTGGCCTCGCGGTACTTATTCTTGATCCATCCTAACGGGCCTTTCGCATCGTCTCTCTCCCGGACGCCGGTCTCGTGTTCTCCAAGCGCAGAAGCTACCTCGGATGCGTCACCAGTCCAACTCTTGCGCGGGCGCTGGGTACTGCCGATTGTGGATGTGCTCGTTTCCGCATGACTGTTGTTACCCGCGTTCTGCCAGGGCAGTCCTGCTCCCTCCTCTCTACGCCTCGATAAACGCCAGCGGCGCTTCCTCTCCCTCTCCAAGTTGTCCACAGGGGATACACTGGCTTGCTCATCTAGCTGATCTATGTCAGATGTCTCATTGAACGACGAATGCAGTGACATGTTCAAAGACTGCTTCGTATGGAGAGAACTGCCGCTTTGCCCGGCGTTGCTGAATATGTCAGTTGCCGGTGGCACCTCTGAAGCTCTTGGAGTGGGCTCCGAAGGTGTCTCGATAGGGTTGCTGCTCTCTTCCTGGGCAGGCTCTAGGGGAGACACGATTTGAAGCGGATCAGGGATTTCGGTATTGGGCGACCCCACAGCAGAATGTGTCAAGGAGACGGTTGAGCTTTGCGCACTGGGGTTCGAGCTACTAGGCAGCCGCTTCTTCCGAAGCTTGTTAGGTTGTCTCTTCTCAGTATCTGAGTTGGGTGACCGTTGGAAGAGGCTCTGCAAGTTCCTTTCTCTTGACGGCGTCACATTCTGAACAGGGGGCCCAAGCAGCCGTTCTTGACTTCTACCTATTGTAGATTGCCGGCTAGTGGAATTGGATGCTGACCCGACGGGCATTATCGTCGGTGTTACTGGGAGTCTGTCAGCCGAGGCAAATGTCTCCTCGGCCACTGTTGAAGGAGCACCGCCGGCAGGGGCGGGGGATGGAGGCGTGGGCACCACACCCACCACTGGGGAGTGTTGTCGGGATGGGAACCGACTGGTTTGTATATGGGGCGACTTTTTGGACGGGACAGTGTTGCTCCTACCGAGGCCACCGCCAGGCGTCGTGGTAGGGCTGTTGGGCGTTGACGCTCCGTTTGAATACCGTGAATGGCGGGATGACGTTGATCGATTTCTCCGGATCCTGCCGTCGCGGCTGACGCTCTCGGCCCCAGCACTAGCATTGGATGACGACCGGACCACGCCTGTCTTACGGTTGGGTGTCGTTGGAGCCACGATCTGAGGAGTTCCCATCTCGATCTCTTTCTTCGTCCGCTCATCCGTGCCGGTGCCTTGCATGCCAATCAGAAAATGGTCTTGATGTTCGATCAAGAAGATGAGGACGCATTGGTTAAGACGGTACTCGGCGGGGGCCATAGCGTGCATCGGATGAGAAAGCATTCCGGGTTGGAAGATGGCAGCAAGATTTTGAGCCGTCATCCGATTCTCGTCAGACTTCGCAGCAAACACTGCAAGCAGGTCCAGTATATAGAGCAGCAGTTGGCGGTTCAAGGGGGGCAGCTCCGTGATCAGCTTCTGATACTTTATAATGGCCTCTGCCTCGTCGAATTCGTCCACAAGCTGGGCACCCTCATTATCGCCGACAGCCTGTTTTGTGTGACCCCGCAACGGGTCTCTGAAACTCTCGTACAGATCCAATGGGACAACCGGTTCGGGGAGATCGTTCAGGTAGCGTCGGAGGACGTTTGCAGCGTCGTGAACCGTATATCCATCCCACACCAGTCCCTTGCCATACCTGTCAGGCGAATCGAATTGGATCTTGAGTTCCTTAATGCGTTTCTCCGAGCCGTTCAGGCGAAATATGCCCTCAACCCCCGTGGCTACACGTTTGCGTTAGCGAAATTGGCAAGACCGTCAGACGGGAAGTAAAGCTGGAGCAAGACGAGACGAACCTTTCTCCTTGAGAAACACGCCGCATTTGGCAACCACGATAGGCACGTATCCATATATATAACTCTGGCCATTATCGTCAACCAGCGAAATGGCAACGTTTGCGTATGTAATGCTTTGGCGAAGGGGCACGCCGAAAATGCCTGGGCCAGGCGATTCTTCTAGGACCAATGTCAGCCAACTCGCTTTTGCCCACTGCGTGATTCCCATGATGCTCGCTTGTTCAACATGAAGTGGTGCAACATGGAAATTTCGGGTTTAGGTAAGAAAAGAAACAAGGTTATGCAGGGTTCGAGACGCTGACTCGTACACTGCAGGCGCCGTAAAGCACGCCCAACAAAATATATGGGGAGGGGACGGGAGCAGCGGGGATCGGAAGCGAAACTCGCGACAAGCCGAAGTGAGGCCAAGACGACTTGGGGATTTCAGACGAGGTGTCGCTTACCTGGTGGCGGCTCTTGGTGTCTAGACGATTGGACCTGGAACTTCTTCCACCACGACTTCAAGTCGGCGCGTTTGCTGGGCGGTGACGCGGGCGTGGTGGGAGGCTGGGACGGTTGCTGTGGTGGACTCATTGGTAGGCGTTGCTCGTTTGTTGCATTCGATGGGGTGCTAGCAGACGTCATTGTTCCTATGACGCGCAAACAATCGCGAACGGGGCTGCGGCCGACGAAGTGAAGTGCGACGTCACAACTAGCAGGCTGGACGATGGTTTTCGAGATCTCATCAAACTATGCTGGGCACGTTCTGAGGAGGCCGATTATTGTCTGTGGTCGGGACGGATCAGGCTTCGAGAGGTTGGCGCGTTACAAAAGACGGATGCGCAGGGGCGGCAGTAATGTCCCAAAGCGTGGGCAGTGGTCGAATTCCTAGGCATTAACAACAGCCGTAACGAGTACCTAACAAAAAACGGCACCCCAGCAACAAACAAGTAGTGATGAACTGATGGAAACGGGTGCGGGCTATAACGCCAGGTTTTTCGACGAAGTGGTATAATAAGCAATCAACCGACGGCGTCTGATAACGTACAACACAACCGTGAAGATGTGCGAGAGGACGCTGGAGACGAGGGGAACGGGATGGATGGACGATGGGACAGAAGTTGTGTTCTGTACCGCTTGGACTGGTTGTACTGTTTAACCTTGGATAATACAGCAGTGCTGTATGCTGTACAGCTGCATTAATAGGTGGGGACTGATGTACTTCTTTTCTTAGTAGGGAATCGTGCTCAGGGCCCGCGCCGGAACAAGTTTGACTAGCACTGGCGCTGGTGTGGTGCTAGGCCTGGTGTTGGGCCTGGACCCTAATACAGACCTTTGCGCTTGAAGAGAGTAGGCGGAGTTTCGACTGTTTCAGACCAGGTGGAAGACTGAAAGGAGGTAAGGTTAGGCACATTAGGTACTTACCTTTTACCTGGAGGCTAGCGGCGGCAATTGATCAAGGCTGGGCTTAACCGGCTATTGGGCACAAGTTGTTGCATGCCTCGAAATAAACCTTGTGAAACTTTTCGTCTCGCACAAACAGGTGAGATCAATTTGTAGAAGAGGCAAACTGAGAATACACGCAAAAGGAGGTTGTTGGAGGTACCATTTTGCTTGTATCAGCTCATAACGTTGAAACGTTAGTGCCAATGTGCCTTACTATGTAAAGGACAAAAGCCTCTGTAAGTTGTATCCTGTACCGTACTAGTTCTCTTTATATACTGTGAGAGAAACCATATGTTAAGAACTTAAGAGAGAGACCTACAAAGACCAGGAAGTCTTTACTGATTAACCAGACTTATGCCAGGCTACCTTGACTGTATCATCATGTCAGACCTGTACACACAAACGGCTCTGTAGAACAAAGCATATGTGCACCAAACCTGATTCAAGTTGGACAG